AACTAAGGAAATTAAATCTATTGGTTATCCAAACCTTGTAACATGTTAGATACCCTCCCTTTCCAAAACGACTTCTTTCCTTCTATTTACCTTGCTTTTGATGGCCTTGTGGATTTTCTACACAGTATATTAAATTTGGTGAAATTAAATCTCTCAACTAGCTACATTGATACTGCAGAAAATGGAGCAGGAGAAGCTTGAGAAGATAGCCCAAAAGGTAATGATTCCTGTAATCTAAGTGGTTGAAACTACAAATAGCGTATTTAAGTGAAGCTTTCTGCTAAGAGAAAAGAGAAAATTTACAGTCTTGTGGTCGAAACATTTGATGAACTACTAGGGTCCTGGAGAACAAGCAGGCACAGCAGGTGAAGCCAAGGCTAGTGGTGCATCATCGACTGAGTCAGGCCCAAAAGTGTCAGAAGACAAGCACAGAAACTACGCGGTTGTGGCAGGAGTGGTGACTGTTGTGGGTGCGATTGGTTGGTACATGAAATCAGGCGGAAAGAAGCAGCCCGAGGCTCAAGAGTGAGAGACGTGATCAATGGACTAGTGAGTGAATAAAATTGAGAGTGACACTCTTTCCCCTCTATGAGAAACATTGGAAGTGCTTACTCTCTTTTCTTTTGGTTTTGGTTTACCAAATCTTGGAGCAGTTTGTGAACCTTTAGTTTCGGAATCTTCAACTCCATATGCTCTTCCCATTCTGCTCTCTTTTGTTGATCCGGGTGTTCGACAATAAATTTATATGCAGTAAGAGGATCGGAAATTCTCGTTTATTGATAATAGCTCGGAAACAGGGTACAACGATTGGTATTYTGCGTGCTAGAAAGACTGTGTGTTGAGCMCGGAAGCTTAGATCGGCCGACGAACCTTGTGTTCGGTCGTCTGAGTATCGGAATAGGGTATGAGATCGTTGCTTTCAGGGTCGGAACRTGTAGTTGAAAACGAGATCGGGTTATGGGGGTTATCTGACTGAATGACCGAATGCCGAGGTCGGAACCCGTAGATAGATGCACTCGAGGTCGGGATATCAGTATGGTAAATTATGTTTTCTGATCAATCGGGCTTGATTAAGAGATTCTTTCCTTTTTGGTGTTAGAGAATAATTGCTCTTAAATTCTCTTGTACTTGTCTAAAAATTCAGAACTGGGATTAACTCATGATGGAGGGCCCTATTTATACTAAAAGTGGAGTGAATATAGTATTAGGGTTTCCTTGGGACCAGTGCCGAGCTCGTCACGCTTCTGTTCGCTGGGCCGAGTCCGTGGGTCATTCTGTCAGCTGGGCTTTTTTGGAAATGGGCTTCAAAGATGACAATATTTGAAGCTCGTGCCCAACAGTAACCTTGGCAAAAAAAGATTAAAAACAAGATTACATAAAAGTTGGTTCAGATTTAGAAACGACTACTCGATCCAAATGAGAGCATTAGGTCTCTCCAACGGTTTTTGTGACGTCTTGATTTTTTATTAATTATTAAGGTGTTAATTTTGGTTAATGTTGGATTTCATTCAGCCAAATCAACTCTAAGTCTCTAATGATCTGGCTTAATTCAACATATATTATCGAACTGTTACTTTTGATTAATGTTGAATCTCATTCAGCCAAATTTAACTCTAATTTTAAGGTCTTCCGGC